TGGTCTTGAACTTGTGAGCTTAAGCAATTTGCCCTCCTCAGTCTCCCAGAGTGCTAGGATTGAGCCACCACACCTGGCCTGTTTTTAATTTTGGAGGGATAGAGTCTCACTCTGGCACCCTAAGTAGAGTGCTATGGCATCATAGCTCACAGCAACCTCAAGCTCATGGACTCAAACAATAGTCTTGCCTCAGTTTTTCTATTTTTAGTAGAGACAGCTTCTCACTCTTGCTCAGGCTGATCTTGAACACCTGAGCTCAAGCAACCCACCCGCCTCAGCCTCCTAGAGTGCTAGGATTACAGACGTGAGCCACCACGCCCAGCCAAATTCTTAGGATATTTTAAAATGTCTTTCTATCTAACCTTGAAGACCTTGATTTGATGGAATTGTCTCCTTTCATGTTGTCACATCTGATGGATCTTGCAGCTCAGCCAAGGCAATAACGTCTGATTGGATCTCTCAAAAATTTGCCTGAGTCCAGGGACACTCAAAGCTCAGGCCACATCAGTGACAGCAGCAAGGTTGTGGGAGGCCTACCAACCCCAACTATGACCCCTTCCCCAAGTTGTGTTAACAGTTTTATTTAGAAAAAGCTTAGAAGAGAACTTGTTCACAGCGAGTAAGGGGAGGCATGAGGGGCTGTCTTCAAGTGGGCAGGGACAGCACAAACCGACCCAAGAACCAGGAAGGGATCCAGGACAATGCAATGTCCCAGAAGCCAAGGGTGGAACAGGTTTCTACAAAGGAGCATTTATCAAAAATGTCAAAACCACAAAGGTTGGGCTGAGTCCACTGGCTTAGCACTCTAGGAGACTAAGGCAAAAGGATTACTTGAGCTCAGGGTTTTGAGACCACCCAGACCAAGAGCAAGACCCTGTCTTTACTAAAAATAGAAGAATGAGAGGAATTAGCCAAGCCTCCTGGTGGGTACATGTAGTCCCAGGAGGCTGAGACAGGGTTTGCTTCAACCCAGGAGCTTGGGGTTGCTGTGAACTAGGCTCTGACTTGGCAATCCACCTGGGAGACAGATTAAGACTCTGCCTCAAGGCTTAGCGCCTGTGGCTCAAGTGGCTAAGGCACCAGCCACATACACTTAAGGTGGCGGGTTTGAATCCAGCTCGGGCCCGCCAAACAACGATGGCTGCAACCAAAAAAATAGCTGGGCGTTGTGGCGGGCACCTGTGGGCCCAGCTAATTGGGAGGCGGAGGCAGGAGACTGGCTTGAGCCCAGGAGTTGGAGGTTGCTGTGAGCTCTCTACCCAGGGAGATAGCTCTCTACCCAGGGAGATAGCTTGAGGCTCTGTCTCAAAAAAACAGACTCTGCCTCAAAAGCAAAAACAAACAAAAAACTGCAAAGGTTAAGATGCATGAGGGTCAGTTTTTCAAAATGTATATGGAAGCAACACACTGTATCCTATGATAGAATTAATGTACACAATTATGATCTAATAAACCCCCCCCCAAAAAAAGATGCATGAGGGTTTATGAAGGGCGAGGAGAAATCATTTGCATCACAAGGGTTGGTTTCTGAACCTGATTATTAGCTGAAGCTTCTCTGATACTAAGCACAAAGCCCCCATCCTTTCCTAGAATGTCTCCTTTCCCCAAATATGTGGATGTGTCCCCAGTACTGTATTAGGGCTAAAGGGTGGCTATGTCTTTTCACAGAGGCTCTGTCTTGGCATACCGGGTGTTTCAAATGGCCAAAGTCACTTAATCTGCTACTCTGGGGAGTGGAAGAAGAAATTCACTCTGGGCTCGGTGCCTGTGG